TCATTTATGGTAATTGTTTAGATAATGGAACCTCTGCTCGAACGGGGGTGGTGGTCGTAGAAGGAAGTCATCCCCATTCGTTAAAGTGAGAACAGAGGAGGTAGACGCTATAAATGAAAATTTGTATAGTCTCATTTGTTTATTACCATATAATGCATGGTTAAGTGTCAGAAAAGCGCCCCTCTTCCACTACCCCTACAAAACTAATTCTTACATTCACCCCATGCGCATATACCATGTAACCCTCCAACTTTTACAACTTTTTTGGAGTCGTTCAAGGTCAGTCCTAACCCCCTAAACCCCCCTCCGCCTTCACTTTTTATGAAAGGGGATGAAGTCCTTAAGCCTTCCATCTTCCCCCTTTCACCCCATTTGTTTCTGGAAATGGTTGCTCTCTTCTTGGTTTCCTAAGTAAGTACTAACTTGAAATTTAGGGTGGTTACTAAACATTTAATACTTTTTTGAATTTCTAAACGAAAGCGATTTCTTTTTGCTAAAATCGACTGGATCCTATGCATAAGAAGTCGATAAAATAAATGTGAATTTAAATTGTTGGAAAGTTGATAGCTCTACGCGTGCATTACGTTGTTGATAAATAAATTCGAGCGTAATTTACGAGATTTTAAGAAAATATTAAAGTCTAGTCGTCGGCTCGTATGCCTGCGCTGATTATGGATGTACAGAGCGACAGTATATTGTCCGCGGACTTGCACCTCATAATGTGTCGTGTCCTGACTATTTATGATCTGCATTAGCCTTTCTGGCTAGATAATTACATGCACCACAATGTCACTGTGATTGAATGCCGCGCAGATAATAACAGGGCAAAAGCTGCAGACATACTGCTATTAACTCGAGATAATTACACTCTTTTTCGTCCCTTGATAAAAGAAACATTCAAATCGGTATGTTCAAGTGGCACCTGATTTGCCTTCTATTTAATTAAAACTTCCTACATTTTAATTTACATTTGTGCATACAAGTGCAGTAATAATCAAAATGTCTTTTATAAACGAATTACGAAAAAAATCGTTATTTCGTTAATTACTTGAAGCATTCCAATCAGCGACGAAAATAAATGACACCTTCTATTGGAATTTTAAACTTAAAACTATTTTTCAATTATCTTGTCACATATAATAAACTTTGATGGAAAAACGGTGCGACATTCAATAATTCCACCAAAAAAAGATATTAAGCCTAAAAGTTTTAATTATGATTGACATAAGTAAGTGAATAATTCGTAAAAAGTCCTGAAAGACATCTTAATGATTTCAGTGCGCAGAGATCGCATCATAAAAACAAATGACTAGTGAGGAACAACCAAAATCTGCTTCTTTGTGTCTTTTGAATTTGTAAATTGGCTGAGTTTGCAGTCGGCCATTCGTTCACATTAAACTTTTGTTCGTCGTACTTTTTAACTTTGCATTTACACTGGTATTTCCGAGGAAACTATGTTCCGCATTCCGTCATAAATGCTGAATTTTCCTTGGAGCCGTTTAAAAGGATTAAAATTTGTTGTGCTTTCTTAGTTGGTAGCCATTCTGGCCGATAAGGCACGTATCCAACTGTTGCAAGTTTGCAGAAGGCTTTAACCGCACTATCGCTGAATTATAGTCCAAGTCCGACCGACCCTCTTTCGATGGAGTTTGTTCGTTCTATCACCGATTAAAGTTAACGCTATACTAAAGAGGAGTGTTTTCTTCAAAGATTAATAAATAATTGCAATAAAATTTAAAGTTATTTCCTCTTCCCGATATTCTTCTATATGCATTTATAAAATAATTTTATGCATTTTAAACGATATCAATGAAAACGAAGTATCATCATCATCATCATCATAAGGTCGTCAGTCCTAAGACTGGTTGGACACGCACCTCTACTCCTTCCTATCCTGAGCTAATCTTCGTATTTCCCTAAAACTAGAACAACCCATATCCTTAACTATTTTCGAAAAATAATCTAATCTTTGACTAGACCTTCATGCCTGAGAAGGTGTCTTACCAACCTATCTCGCCTATTTCTTATTGACTTCTGTAGAGTCCTCTGTTCTCCTATTCTTTCTAATACCTTTTCATTTCTAACCTTTTCTATCTGCAGTATCCTCATCATTCGCCTGTAATACCACATTTTCAACGCTTCTAATCTCTTCTTTTCTGCCGCGCCCACTGTCCATGTTTCGCACCCGTACAGCGCCGTGCTCCAAACATACACCTTTAACAACCTTTTTCGAATTTCCAAATTAACCGTTCGGAAGACGAAGTAGTATTTGATAAATCGTTATCCTTGAAGGATTAAAAGTGTATGCGCTCCTGAGACATCTTTCGCGTTGTTTGACTTTTCCTTTTTTCTAATTTTCACCACGTTTAGGTAAACGTTTTATGTTAGCTGTTTAATTGCGTTATGTACATAGTAAGTGTGTACATAACAAGATTGATTAAGCACATTATAAAATTTCGATTAACCTTATCTGAAATTGAATTTTAAACTACAAACCCTGAAAATCAATCACATCTTCTTCGTAGCGTACTTGGTAGATCGATAAATCCAAACAGTAAAACAGAATTTACTGTTCTGAGTGTTCTGTTGGTGATCGATTTATAAATTTAAATTTTTTGTTAAGAGGAAACTTTGAAATCACTTTAAACACCATTCGGAGTTTGTATTTTGCGATATTAATGATCTGGCATTAAGTAATCGACATTAAGGAAGTTGTGTAGAGTTTCAATTTCCTTTTCATGTCGTTGAACATTCGCAAAACTCTTAAGGTTGTTTAGAGGTCAAATATTTCTATCATCGTGTTTGCGCATCTTTGTGCCATCACTTGATTTTTGTCTTTAGAATCTTTACACTTTCTCTTCATTCAAACATGTTACCTCGTTCCTTTTTTTCCATTGTAAGATTTAAACGATTTTAGTATTGATAAATAGCTAAATGAATACAATCAGCACACGGTTATTATACCAATACAATGCCACAAACGAAGTTAAATAATTTACGAGAGGCATCAAATGTAAATGGTAGCTTGGTAATTACTAATTAGTGTTAATAGGGTACGTAGTAGTTCCAATGAATTACACAACAAGCATTTTACATCGTGGTACGTAGTTCGACAACGTTTTATGTACGGATATGTATAAATGTGCATGTATTTGAACACCTAAACCAACCAGATGGTTGTATCGGTGTTTGTTCGATTGTAGCTGCTACTACGATCGCGACATATTACTTAAATAGGCTGTTTATGTTACCTGTTATCAGCCATTCATGTAATTACTGTAATTAATATTTACAAACTGCGAACAGCAGCGAAACATTACAGTAAAGTACAGACTTATGTATGTACAAGAATGCGATACTTCGTTATTTGTTTCAAATTGAGAGAAAATATCCAAATTTTCAAAAAAGTGAAAAGAATTTTGATCAGGATATGTATGAAATTATTACAAAAGGCAATTTTTAATAAATTATCCGGGTACCCAGCAATTTTTGACTACCTACTTATTTTTAAAATTATGATGATGGGTTTCCTTCCATGAATGCCTTCTAATTCATTAGCTGAAGAGAGTCTAAAAAATTCTAAACTCCTTGGAAATGGATGATCTAAAATATTGGATCGATATTGTTTTCCCTGGTTCAATATCATGGTCCATGGAATTTTGAAATTCAAATTCAACGAAATTCTATGAACTACTACAAAACAGCCCGCAAAACAATATCGAATTGATATACGCCAGCTGTGTAAAACTGAAAACTGCGAGATATTGTGGTGTGCTAATAAATGCGTATAATCCAAAATTCTTAGAATTACATTATTACAATGTGTAAAAGATCAGAAACAAAATGGGGCTGTAAACATTTTTATATAAAATGATTGATGTTGATTTTACATCAATAAAGTTATTTGAAACCATATCTTGGCTTTGATCATTCACGCTAAACAAACTATTTTGGCGTCAGTGTCGTTTTTCCAATTAAAACGGGTGAAAAAGGCAAATAAGGAAGCATATATAAGAATTATTTGTTGCTGAACTGAAGAAACTATAACATAAAGATAAACTATATCTCAAGGGAAATCTATTTTGTATTTTACATTTGAAATAACAAATCAAAAAAGTGTTTCGATTTTGTATTTAAATACTTTTAAGAAACCATTTTGCACATTTCTATTTCTTTACAAAGGTTTTATACTGTAATTAGAATAAATAAAATTTTCGATCGGAAAAAGTAAATCAAGTGGTTGAGGAAAGTTGTGGAATGAGTCAATCGGCTGTTGTAATGCACGACGCGACGATAAGATTTCGGACTAGAAGCGGACCATTGCATTGCTCTGATAGCCAATTAGGAATGTCAGCGCCAGCATAACTGGGCATTTTGCCATTTGGCCACGAACCTGTGTCGCAAAACCCGAGGCATTTGTTTTGCCGTCAACACAAATGTTTTGTCCATTCATCAATTATCGGTAAGTTCGATGACGTTGCTGCTACCGTGGACGGCCACCGCCGCAACTACCAAGCGTTTTAAGTTCTGCAGGAAAGAGCAGAGCGAGAGAAAGACGGGCTGTTGCCCCGTACGAAAAAGGAAAAATAAAATACGCCACTACCGCACCTTCAGAAAGATTTAATTGGACAGAACTCGAACGAACTACCGTCTTAATGTAGCTTCGTCTGCTGTTGTTCTTCAGCTCGATAGAGTTTAGTGGTGTTTGCTGTTAATTAAAGATGATCTCTATTAGATGTTCGATCTTCTTTAACCTTTTACCTACCTTGTACCATACTTACTTCTCAAACTTCTTTCTCTTTGTTGTTATTTTATTGTATAGGTACTGTAGTGCCATTATATTAAACAACAAAAGCAATTGCATACCCATAATTGAGAAAGTCTTTCCACTGTGTACAAAAAATGACTTTTGAGCGTTTCAGCTACAAAGTTTGAGTTTTGAGATTCCCTGTTCGTATTACTGGATTACAATTTTCTATATTTTGTTGTTTTCCTTTCAGACTTGCTATGAGATGGAGCGATATTTGAAGGACGAGCCAAAAATCCACCAGTCCCTTAAGAAGCTTCCAACCGACATGGAAACGCGGTGGTTGAAGATGGAAGTGGAACTGGAAGATTTTGGGGAACGCCATTTGGATTCGTTGAGTACAAGTTCGGCAAGTTCCTCGTATTCCTGGGATAGCGCATTATCCTGCGCTGTCCTCGTCAAACAAGAGCCTGTCGATGATATGGAGGAAGACGAAGACCAGTACCACGAACACAGTCGCAGTAGTCACCATCACCACCATCATCATCATCACCACCATTCGACACGGGATGCTCTTCAGTTGCGCCTAGTCGAAAGGACGTCGTCCAGCACGACCTTGACGCCACCGTCTAGTCCTGAATCGAGTCAGGGTCACAATAGTAACGGTAGTGGTAGTTCTAGTGCTAGTGAACTAGACGTTTGCAGTTTGCGAATGAGCGGTATGCCCAGAAACGCTATTGTCAGGGTACGTGCTTCAGGACTCACCAGGTACATCTCGGTAGTACCGCGGAGTACCGCGCCGACAGCTTCAGCGGCCATGACGTCGCCGGGTGCCAAACATGCTCGCCTCGATCACTCACCCGACTCGAAGAGGAGGATACACAAGTGCCAATTTCTCGGATGCAAAAAAGTCTACACGAAGAGTTCGCATTTAAAAGCCCACCAAAGGACGCATACAGGTCAGTTACTTTTCTGCTTTTAACTGCTAACAATCGAATCAGATAGATAAGGTTAGAAATGAAGAGATATTAGAAAGAATAGGAGAACAGTGGACTCCAAGGAAGTCAATAACAAAAATAGGCGAGATAGGTTGGTAGGACACCTTTTTAGGCATGAAGGTCTAGTCAGAGACCTAGATCAGATTACTGTTCGCAAAATGTTGATGATGTGGGTTGTTCTAGTTTTAGGGAAATGCGAAGATTAGCTCAGGATAGGAAAGAGTGGAGGTGCGTGTCCAACCAGTCTTGGGACTGATGACTATGATGATGATTAAAATCAGTATCTTCAAACATTTAAGAAGATCCAAATACTGATGCTTCAGTAATATTGATTTTATGAGCGTTCACAATTGGTGGTAATTAATTGTATGATGTAGTTTTTCGGGCTTAACTACACTCTTTTCCTGCTAGGTAGATATACGTTTTGTCAGTATGGTTCCTGGTTCCTGTCAAGGCCGAAGTCGAGATAGCGAAACTTTTAGCTACCAAGTAGAGCAAGTAAGAGGCCAGAGTAGTTTAACCCGGAAAAATTCACTCCAGTATGACACGTTTGTGGTTTATGTCGCTTAAAAATTGCGCGTAGCTTTTAATATTATATCAGCATCTTCTTGTTATTCTATAAAACAGAAAGCCTTTCTCTAGGAGACAGACGTGAGTTGTTTTAAAATTTATTACACTAGAAGACATAAAGCGTATGTTATTTACTCTCCCAGCTGAGTTATATTTTATTTCTTTACATATTTATGGTATGATCCATTATTCGTCTTGTCAGAAAACTAAAAATTATTTTATCAGATAATTACAGTTTCGAAGTGATAGTTGATGGTCCCAATTTCTACATTCGCTGGCACACTTTTACTTACAATGTAGATGCATACTTTTCGATCATCATTTAATGCTTGTATGAAAGACATTTTTCATATGCTTCGTATATGAAAGTAGCAGCAATGCAAAATGTATTATGTAGTAAAAAGCTCGCATTTAGGTTTCTATTTCCTCAGCCGCCTTCGTGTATACCCTCTAGTGAGATTGAGTGAACTAAGAAAGCATTTATTATATTAGCACTTTACTTTTTGAATGATGATGAATCGGTCTCTTGAACATCGTCCTTGCGATAACGATTTTTATAAGGAAGGAATTGAAATTTGATGTTTAATAGGTCTTTACTGTCATCGATTAATCATCGAGTTTGATCGCTTTACTACACATTAACCGACAATCGTCAATTTATACAAGGGGAAAAGGGGGTGAAATTGTAGTACCTAAGAAATACTCTCTGCTATTTTTAATCTGTACATCGAAGACGCGATCAACATCATTAAAGACAGTACAGGTCGGACGAAGGAAGCTGGCGAGCGGTCGCGCAGGTACTTGCCCATTTCTGACTTATTTGGGTAAGTCACTTGGAAACGATACACAAGTAAGCATTCAGTAGCCGTAAATTATAGTATTAATACAGACAGGACAGTAGCGTACTGGAAAATAATGTAAAAACATAACTTACCAAAAAGAAAAAATAAACCTATTGCTTTTGTTTTATACTTAGTTTTCACATTCACTGCCATCATGGGAATCTCTATCACTGTCAACAACATCAACAATTAGTTCTTCCGTTTGTCTGTCTATTACTTGCTCACTGATCCCTATTTTTAAATATTTAATCTACGCCCTTGATAGGAATACTGAAGAAAGAGGGCTGCAATCGTTATACCTAAAACTGCCTACTTTTGCCACCGCGCATCCACGCCATTTTAAAGTTTCCGCCAGCTTCCAGCGTCAGACCTGTACAACTGTAGGGATAGATATACAGGGGCAAAAGATTAGTATGCATAGGTTTGCAGATGTTATGGCAGTATTAGCGTCTAGCAAGGAGGAGTTAGAGATATCTTTAGATAAAATGGAAGCGGTATTGGCAAAACAGTACTGTAAATCAATAAAAGTAAAACAAAAATACTGGTAAGCAAGGGAAGAAAAAGTATAGAAAAAGCAAATATAAAGATATGAGACGAAAAATCAGAAGAAGTCACTGATTTTAGGTATCTAGGAAGTCAAATAAGGCAGAACGGAAGGAGTAGTAGGGATATAAAGCAGAGGATAGCGCAGGGTCGAGTCGCCTGTTCGCAAATAGTTAAGGATGTGGGTTATTCTAGTTTTAGGGAAATGTAAAAATTTACTCAGGACAGGAAACAAGGGAGAAGGAGGTTTGTGTCCAACTGACGAAATACTTTTCGGAATAGAGACTTGGTGGGTCTATGTTGAGCTGTTGACGATTCCTAAATGCTAAAATACTGATAATAATCGCAATTTGAAAATGCTACAAGAGATATTGGAAAATGTAAATATGATAATGTATTATTACTAATTGTAAGTTCTCTTCATCTTCATCGTCTTGTTGTTCTGTTTATAATGCAAATCAGAAATTACCTTTCACAGCAAAATTATGCCGTTTGAAAGACCAAACCCATTGCATTTTACTAAGGGAAAAAGTTGTTTGTTTTGTTAAGGTATTTTACTCGTCCAATTAAAATACAGTTCAGGTCGAGAGCTATTTATTTTGGAAAATGTATTTACTGAGACGTATAAACTGTGCGCATTTAATTGGTTTCAACCTCTACTGCAACTGAAATAACAAGAATAATAACAAACCCTCCTCCATCCCCTCGTCTGGCATTATCCAACACTACATAGGATGATTTCGAACAACAATAATAGCTCTTTTGTCGAAATTTATTGACGTGTAACTACTGGTTAAGCAAACACTTATCTTTCATGCAAAATTGGATTCATAAAATACAGCTGATGGTATTGAATGCACTTCATGTTTTATGGGGCAGCTACCTACACAATAACATCAGTACGAATTACCTATTCGATTTTTATTTTCGGTATTTATTGACATGAAAAGCAATACAAGTGGGTATAGTTATAAGAATTACTATAGGTCACGTCAGTGATGCTTGCTCTCCATTAATTTATTTTCTTTACGAAGGATTTTCATAGACGAAAATTTATGACGGCAGCAATAAATAACTCATGTATTAACAGCTCTTCCTTTATTATTGTTTTTGTTATATTAATGCAATAATAGTAATAATAATCTAATCATACTAAAATTAAATCAGAATTAACTAACAAATACACAACTAGGCTAACCAAAATACTTAGAACACTTCTGTCAGGTAGAAAAAAAGTCAAAGCTATTAACACATATGCTATATCAATACCCACTTACTCCCTCGGGATAATTCGTTGGTCTGATACTGATTTGGAATCACTCAATAGGCTAACTAGAACTAAGTGCATCAAATACAACATGCACCACATACACTCTGCTGTTGAAACGTTAACAATCAAGACAGTTAGGAAGAAGAGGAATAATTGATATTAAAAATCGACATTACAAACAGATTATTAATTTGCGGTCATATTGTAGAGCAAAAAGTGATCATAGTCCATTCTATACATATTTTAATCTGCGCCATTTCAACCTCTGGTACATCACTATAACTTAATGATTAAGATTTTAATCCTGAGGACAAAATTATGAAAGAAAAATTATAAATTGAAATGTGGAAATCATAGAGCTTCATTTCATGGGACACATGCCGAGCATGCAACACATCTCGCGAAACAATTGACCACATCACTGGGGGTTGCTCATTTTTAGTCAGCCGACAATTCATCAACAAGCATAATAATCTTGCTAAATAAGATACACTCGCTGTTAGCCAAAAAGTTTAAACTCATAGATCAGATAGAGCCGAACTATAAATACAAACCACAAAATGTATTAGAAAACCACTTAGCCAACCAAGCTTTATTGGGATAGAGACATAATTACAGACAAACCAGTTAATCATAACAGACCTGACGTCACATTGACCATCAAAGAAACAAACAACCTACCTGTACCAAACACTGAAAATCTTAAACAGAAACATATTGAGAAAATTCAAAAATATATTCCTTCGGCTGATGACATAAAACAAATGTGGAATCAGAACACATTTCGAATTATTCCAATAATACTGTCATCAATAGGGCTTAAACCTAAGACATTACACTCTAGCCTAGCCGATTTGAAACTGCATAAGTTTACGTACATAAGTCTACAGAAATCAATAATCCTTGATACATGCGGAATAGTACGCAGATTTCTTAACAATACTGATTTAATAATCACTGATCATATCTCAGGGCAAAAAGTACTGATTGCTTTATAAAATTTAAGAACAGAAAATTGGTTTCCATATATCCTAAAAGATGTGAGTCAGGTTCTTCGGCATTAGCCCGTCTTCACTTGCTCAAAGTTAACCAGTTAACCAGTGAAAACTGAGAAGACCAGGAAAACAAGAATCTAAAAGGGACTAGCGACTTCGTATGAAATAAAACATGCAATTCAGTTTTTTAATTAAATGTTGTAGTAGTCGGGTAATTCTAGAATGTCGTATTATCGGAGAAGATAGCTACACGCTGAACCGTTTTCTATTACAAACCTACCTACCCTAGAAAGAACTGATATTGGGAAAGTTTACACGAAGAAAACCATAGAAATCGCTTAGATTTTCATTGGTAAGTTGTTCTATCATTTCTACTAATGCTCTTTATCGTTAGTAAAGACAGTTATAATCAAAACTTGTTTCACGCACGTCTTGTTCAAAGTTCGACGACAGACGTTGCGGCGCAAGTTTACTGCCGTGGTCGGTCACGCGTCGTTACTGTGGCAACGAGGCTTTATTGAAGAGGAGGTTAGACGGTGCGATGACATGCTGAAATAATTGTGTTAGTATAGCACTTAATAACATCTTATCCCAGCTTGTCTGCTTTCGATGTTTTTGTATTACTTTCTCGGAAAAAATCGATTATTGGAATTTGCTTAATATTCCTGAAAAATTAAAGGGAAACTGCAAAAAAAAAAGCGGCACATAATAGAATAATATTTGCTTTTGGCACATTACATT